GCGCTACATATATATACACACACACACATATATATATATATATATTGCGATTATTGAAACTGAAAAAATGTACCATCTAATCTAAAGAACCATAAGATAATTTTTTCCCCTCATATTGTTCATAATCATTGTAGCAATATCTGTTTTTTTTCTTTTCCTGGATTCTTTGTAATTGTAGTCTTAATTCACTGTAAAATAGGAAGAACTTCCAGTGTTTATTTTATTAGAAAAAAAAAAAAATTTCAATAATTTCAGGACCAAATTTAAACCCAAAAAATAGTTAATATTAATATGTGATTGTTAACCTCGAAAGGCACCGGAGCGAAGATCCAGCATCTGCTTCTCTTTGCCCTCTCTTATAAGCTGTAGCAGAAATCATAGCAAACATCCATCTACAACCATGAAAGGACAAGTGAAAAAATCATGCGAGAGCGTCAAGATACCATACGGAATTCACCTGAGTAAAGGAAGGTGATACAGAGAAAGAGCTTTTTTTTCTCTGGTGCCAAACATGACTTCCATTGGGCTGGCGTGCCCATGACACTTGTTGCAGCACCTCACCGTCCCGTGATGCTCTGCCATTACATGATTCCATTATTTGCCACAAGAAAGTATCACCGTCAAAACATAGATCTTGTCTTTTTTTATTTTCAAGTAACTTTTTGCAAGAACCAAACAGAGCCTTAGTTTTCCTAAAGCTCCTTTCTTTCAACTTTAATAGTTTGCCCTTAAATGGGATATAATTAACCGGTATGAGGACTCAAAAGGTTTTTTTGCTTGTTAAATTTGCTACAGATACCTGGGATCTTCCACTCGATTTCTCTGTAAAGAGTGAAGCAAAGATTGAAGGTGAACTCCAGGAGATGATTAGGCAAGCATCAAACGGAATCTCCAAAGAACCTACATAAAATAAGAGTCTGAATTCATGAAAAACCATACATAAGATTCATTCAATAAGCACGAAAAAAATACTTGCGAGAAGCATGGACTTTGTATTACCTTCAAGATCAACGAATTATACGAAAACAAGACAAGATTCCCACGGCAATCATATGCTATCACCAAAAATCACTGCAAGAACATTTTCCATTCTTGAAATGGTGATATCTAGTGGCATCCCGAACAATAATTTCTCTCTTCACAATGTCGCTAATGAATTTTAGAACAGTATGGCAGTCCCCACAAATGCGAAGATTTTTTACTATCCTTATAGTTGTTCCCGGAACAGCCTTAAGCAGCCCATAGGCCACAGCCAACCGCTCACTATGCCAGAAAAGCTGTCTTTCCTTCTCTTGCAGCTCCATGTCATGTAAAACAAAGCTGGTATCAGGAACATACCCTTTTCTTCTCATCTCAGAATCCAGCTCCTTGAGCAAACAAAATATCTCCTCCTTAAGAGGATGACATGTCTCTCCAGCATAAAACACTTGGCTGTCCTTCCCAATGTCAATGGAGCTATACCCTGGTTCCTTTTTGACTTCCAGTAACCCCATTTTCCTCCTCAACTCCGATACCCTAGTCCACATAGAAGCACCAGCATAGATATTGGATAAGAGT